ATAATAAACAAGCTGGTAATACATGGTTTTTTTTTTTTTAGATGAACTAGTACTTATTAAGACAAGAATATTTTACTCACAATTTTCACTTAAAAAGGTTCAATAATACAAAATGAAAGTTTATGTTTAATTTCATCAGATCAATTTTATAATGAAATACCAGGTAATTTAAATTGTTAGTTGGGATCTTGACTTGAAAATGACTTTATGGAATATAGTATTACTATATCCTATAATGTTATTTTCAAGTCAAGGATCCAATTTGTTAGTTTGTGAATTAGATAATAGAGTATTAAAGTTAAATTTTACTTATTAAAAGAAACAGAACAAAGTGAAAGTTCTACTCTAACCAGTTATGACGAACTAATATTAAGCTCAATAGTATATAATAAGTTAGACATAACATTACTACCTTTATTAGATTCACTAATTGAACAATTAGAACCACAGGTTAACACTACTGAACAATTAGAACCAACAATTGGTATGCAAATTGAAATATGGGAACAATTAGATAGATATATCGATGCTTATTGTAGTTCATAATATTTTTTAAAAATTATTTATGGTGTGGAATATGATTGTAGAATAAGAAGGTATTGTAGGTATCAATGTGAATTTCAAGGACAATATAAAGGAAAAAAAAAAAGATTGTAGAAGACCAATGTAATACAAAATCAAAGCGTAGTGGATGCCCATAGTCTATGAATACAACATGTCCTAAAACAAGTAGTATTATTAGGATTACTTCTATTTTCTTAGAACATAGTGATCATTCTCTAGACCCACTTGCTAATAAATTTAATATTGTAAATAGAATATTTACTGAATCTATATTAACAGATATAGAGTTTTGGACTACTAAAAGAAATCTTAACATGTATACACAATGTCAACTACTTATGGCAAAGTATGAAAATATCTTTTTTTTTATTGTAAGACTTATCAAATATAATTTAAAAACTAAAAAAAGAACAACAAATTGAAGATAAAGCCGCTACTTTAATTACTCACCTGTTAGAATGTAAAGCTAAGGATGTAAGATGGGTTGTTAATTGGAATGTTGACTCTACAACAAATTCTTTATTAAGTTTATTTTGGATGACACCTGACTAATATGATCTTTATATTCAATATTATGATGTAGTGCAATATAATAATACTTATTCAACTAATAGGTTTAAAATAGCACTTGGACTATTCTTAATCGTAGATAATAATAATAGATCTCACTTAGTAGGACAAACATTAATGAGTGACGAGACTTTAGAAAGCTTTGAATGGATATTTAGCTCTTTAATTCAAACTACAAACATTTTTTCCTCAGTTATTATAACTGATAGTGACCTGCTATTGATGCTTCAATTGCAAGTATAATGCCAAATACCTATCATATTCACTGTATCTATCATATTGGACAGAACATTATAAAAAATTTAATACCACTCGATCCACTTGCAACTTATAATAAACAAGCTAGTAATACATAGTTTATTTTTTTTTAGATGAAC